TGAATTATGCATAAGACAAGAAGGAAAGGAAACAGAGATCTGCTGAAGTGGTGAGGTGAATTCAGGAGGCAACCGAGGGACAAGAGGGGACTCCAGGTTTGGAGAGAGTCTGCTGTGTGAGAGCGACCACACTTCCAAAGTAATGGAGTCATGAGGAAGCTCATGCTAATGTTTGAACTGGAAAGCACACTGAGAGGGTTACAGCACTCTGCATGTTGAAAAGCTGATTACAGGGTAATACTTTCATCAGTCTTGGCACATCCCACTTCTTTTAATCCAGGTGTTCCGCTCTGACTGTGCCACCCTGTGCAGTGACAAGTACTTTAGCCCCCCACCCACATTATATAAAAGCGAGACACAGAGACTGAAGTTAAAAAAATAGAAAAAATGAGAAGGATCAAAAAGTGTTGTTTTTTTTGTCCTTTCTTTGTGGTTGTTTTGCATCTCTTTTTGGTGGTTTTGTGTCCATCTTTGATCGTTGTGGTTATTTTGAGTCTCTTCGTGGCGCTTCACGGTATTTGCACCTATTTTAGGTTGTTGTATTTGTTTCGCAAACTTTTTTTCTGTCTCAGGTCCTACGTCTGTTTTTTGATATAGCATCTCTGCACTTTTGTTGTTTTGTTTTTGGTCCTTTTTTCCCTATGAAGTCATTTTGGGTCCCTTTGCAGACAGTTTTGTCTCTTTTTAATCATATTTTTTTTGCAGTTGTTTTTACATCTCTTTTGCGTTTGTTTGTGAACGTGTCATCCCATTCCCACATTCTTTTTTTGGAATGAATGTGGGAAATCTGAAAATGTAGTACGTTTTTGCGGTATATAGTTTCTCTGTGTGGTTGTTTTGAGTCTTCATTGCTTCCTCTGTCATCCACCCACATTAATCTCACACTCCAATGGAAAAACAGCCACAGTGCCCGCAAAGTCTGAATCCGTCCTCCAGGAAGGGCATTTGTATAGGTGCAAGTCACCGGTGCTAGGCGCGGAGAGTCAGAAAAATGAAGTCATTGAAGGAGAAGTGTTACCTCGGCATAAAGCGTGTTTGCAGTCCGTGTTATAGCCGTGTGTTGAAATCTTCGTCGCTGGAGGTCCGTCATGAAATGCCTGTCCCGATGGATCAAAGCCAACTCTGACTTAGACCTACTGACTGACTTAAAAACTTCGGTACCGTGAGTACCTGGTGTGTCTTTTGTTTGTTTGTGTTTTGATTGTCGCACCGCAAAGAGAGACTCTGGTTTTTCTTTTGAGTTTGTTTCTGTGTAAGCCGGAGCAGAGTTTTTGTTTTGTAGTTTGAACATTGAACTGAAATGGACTAAACTGTGGGTTGTGGGTACACCGGAGCAGACTTTTGCCGGAAGGGACTGAACTTTACTTACGAATAGAGACACACATTGCGCACATTCATTTTGTTGCAGTGTGGTTGATATAAATTGTGAAAATATATTTTTATTGAAATTGCCTTGCTGTTTTGTTTGATGGCTTTGTGGCTCTTGCTTATGTCATATTTTGTGCAGGTTGACTATTTTTTGTTTGCATTTAATTTTTATTTGTCAGACTTGACTCTGACTGGCACCCCAAATTAAACCTTTGTCAAACCCGCTACACTATATTCATTCAGTCAGATTAATAGTTAGATCCTGGCACATATACAGACTGTATACTGAATGGAACTGTCCTGTGAAAAGCGTGTTAACAAGTCTTTTTGCTGTTTTTACAAGTTTCAGCAGAAGATAAAACTTAACTGTGGGTCCATTTTGTGTAATGAGGTTTTAGTTGGAGTTTTTTTTCTTGCTGTCGCTGAAGGCCTGGGGTTTTGAATTGTCATTTTCATTTATCGTTTTCATTTATTCTTTCATAATGTAGGCACTGTGAGGCTATTTGAAGCTCTAACTGCTTTCGAGGGTAGAACACATAAAGTTGACTTATACCTTAATAAGACCACTGCATGAAAACAAAAGTGTAAAGGTCTATAGGTTGTCTCTGATCAAACACTCAAAAAAAAAAGAGTGAAAAGCTGCTGGTTTTGGTTTGACATTAAGGAGGAAATAGTCTGCATCTGTCTTGGCATTTTCAAACTACCTGTCCACATGGGACATTTATTGTGGGCGTCTGTTATGAGAGGGGAAAAGCAAAAATATTTATATGTTTCTTACTTTGGCTGTTCCAAGGGTCCAGGCCATCAGCCAAACTGACACCTGTAAATGTATCCTCCCATTACAGAACAGGGCCAACTGTGACCTGCACAGTTTTAGCCCCCTTGTAATCTATCTTAAAGTTCAATTATTATTAAGTGTAAGATTTACATTTTTGACATGGGATTGGTGTCATGTGAAGTTGTTTTAACAGCGCGTCCTTAAAAATATAGAGAGGTACACTGTATTCATAAAATTAATATATGTGCAGATTTTAGTGTGAATTGTTGTCTCTTTTTTTTTTGTCAGCGATGTGCCGGTTGAGCTGTGAATCTCTAAACCCAGTGCATGCTGTGATAAGAATCAGGGCCTTGATAATGATGAAAGATAAATGGATATGATAAAGGTGGCCGGATAGAGGCACCATGGACCTTGATGCCCTGCAAGACCTACAAACAAGTATGATATAGAAGACATGGAACATTTTCAGTGTATACCCTCAGTTTAAATTGGAATAACCGAGATGCCCCCTTGGGACACATCCAAGACACCCACACACAACACTTGTTTGCAATTGCTGCTAAAGAAAGATATAATCCATTTCATTTATTTTGTTTGGCAATGTTCAAGGATTGTTTTTATAGATCCTTTGTGCTTTTTATTCATGAGGAGTCTTTGATTTAGAGAAAAGTTCTGTCTGTTGCTGGTTTAGTGCAAAGCAAGATCTGCACAATCACTCTCTGTAGGAAAGTTTAAGCCTCACAGGTATAACGGGTTCAAAAAGGTCATATTTATCAAAAAAGTAAATATTGATGATCTTTTTGAAGAAACCCCCCCCCCTAAAAAAACAAACAAAAACAAAAAAACAACGAAACAGAAGTGTGTTTACTAAAACACAACATTCTCAGATCCTAACTATATTTCCAGGATCCTTAAAGGTTCCTTTAAACAGTTTTGAGTGCTACAAAGTTTAGCTTATTTATGTGTTGAAGGGAAGCTAGGGAAGAGTACATATTGATTGGTGTTAACAATAGACATAGTGGAGTATGTGATAACATTTAAACATTAAAAGAATTTGAAGTGCTGTACTTATCATTTTTCTCGTGTTGAAAACCTATTCAGGATTCAGTTGTTTTGCCCCCAGTTGTTTTATGTTGTTAAGATGTTGGAGCATCTTTTTCTTTACAATTGTTAAAACATAAAAACATTAACACATTGCGTTATGGGGGAGAGTCAAAAAAATGTTAGACAGTGTTTCTCTGGCTGCTAAATCAGCTTAGAATCTAGTTTCTGTTTTCTGGAAAATTATGAACTGAAAACATTATTTGAGAGGACAGTGGACAGAAGGGGAAATCAGGCTAAGAGAGCGGGGAAGACGTAAGAAAAAAGCCAAGAGTCGGAGCGGAACCCGAGCGGACCAAAACCTTCAACCATGGGGCGCTACCCATCTGCAAGACCACTGGCACCCCATAATAATCTTTTTGTCTATGTTGGGGGGAATACTGGCCTAAAGGTGACAATAAGCTTGAGATGTGATGAAAGGACTTTAATGTTTGACTAAAATCAAAGCTCTTTTGGATGATAGAAATGTTTTTGGTAATTTTATGTTCCTATCCCCTGGCCAGAATTTATGTTTGTCTTGCTCTTTTTGTACAACATAGGCAAAATGGTTTGGAAAAGGTGGAACTGAAATTTCCATCTCATTTGTGATTCAGAGAGAGAGGTGCACCTTGGGAGACCATTTTTATCTTATTTTAAATCCAGATGGTTAGAGGAGAATTTGGGAATCCATAGAATTCCTTCAGGGCCGTGTTAAGTGTTGGTGAACAACCTTCTTTTTTCTTTTCTTTTTTAAATAAACAGGTATTTATTTTTCGTGGAAACAGATGCTGAGCTATTTGACTGGATTATAAAGGTAACACATGAGAGACACAAACTGGGGCTCAGAAGCAGACTCTGTTTTTTCATTTCCGTTAAGAATCACAACAAGGCTTTCAGTCACTTGTTCTAAATCTGTTCAGAACACATCTTGTTGCAGCGTCACATTGTGGGTTCTCGTGTTTGTGCTTTTGTACTATTTGAGTAACGGCTAAACATAAAACAAGAGTTATTACCACAGCTGTGCAGCTTTCTATACACAAAGGCTCACTTTTCAACAAAAGACAGAGTATGTTAACCACAGCTTATGATGGGGAACCACAGTGAAATAATGTATTCCTTATTATTCAAAATGGCAGGAACACTTCTTGCACCAGGAGCAGAAGATGTAGAGTTTCCTGTCATAGCTCCACCTCCTGACTGATCTGTGTAATTTATTTGGCTGTTGACCTCAGGGGGAGACTTGAAACGTACCCCCAGATTTGATTGCTCTGGGACTTTTGCTCTCTCAGTTTCAATTTTTTTCAAGTGAGAAAGAAAAGAAGCAGAGGAAGAAAAAACCCTTACAAATGCAGAAGGAGTTCCAGCACCTGCAGTACTTGAACTTCTGAATACTGCTAAAAAAAAGCTCCTCTTAAAGCACTTCTCCTATGGGACTATTTAATCAAAGTGTGTCTCTGGTGTACTTATAGCCTGGATTATTCTTGACGGCCCAAGGTGGGAAGAAAAAGGAAGAATTTAAAGAGTCACAAAAGGGCCAGAGGAGGCTTCAAAGACTACAGATGAATCTTTGTCATTTGAGCTGTGATTGCTGCTAGGGGGTAATCGCCCCAGGCCAGTCTGGAGGATCCTGTTACTTATTCATGAAGTGTCTTCCAACAGGATCTTTTTATTGTAGTTTGTATCACCCATGCAAATCAATGTAGTGGAAAATTCACATGCATGAAAGCCCAAAGCGGTTAATTTCATCAGATTTATCTCATTAAAGCCAAATTAGTCAAATGTCACAAAATGTTTTAATGACTCCAGCATGTTTCACACCCTAAACAATTTGACGTGCTGGTTCCTTGAAAATCCCCCCCCCCCAGTCCCTCCTGTTTGTCATGCTGGGTGACAGGAATAAATAAAGCAGGATTACACATGAAACCTTTCAGCGTTTCCAGTTGAGAAATGACAACATGACATGTCCTTTTTTTAAGTCGAGCCAAAACATTTAATACACACCATGGCAGGAGACATGCACTTGCAGCACTTCACACTGTGCACCTTCCTAACTATAGCTCGCATTTTCATAAACACATACAAACCATAAAATAATTTAAAACAAAACACATATTAAAAAAGGGGGGTTACACTTTTTTTTTTTATACACGTTTCATAATACTGCTTCATAAAATGTATCACAGAAATTAGCTTTTACACAGAGCAAACCATAGAAACCAACTCAGGTATTACACTGACACTGTGCTTGTTGATAGTTAGCAGAAAACTGTGAACAGGCGACATCCGAGAGGGAATGTCACAGAGAGGACAAGCGTCGGAAAGAAGAGTCTGTTTGAGGAGGAGGCAGAAGAGGAGGAGGAGGGTTGGTCTATATCTGTCCCTCTTTAATGATAAACAATCCAAGTGTGCTGAAGGGCAGCGAGGTCGACCGCTAGGCGTAAAAGGTCTCTACTTTCACTGACTGACAGAACATCGTCATGGAGAAGACCAGCCCCAGGATCTGCACAAAAAACACAGGAAACAGATCAGCCGTTAACAGGTTCAGAATGATGTTCCTGTGTAAAGTCACAGCGAGGAGCTCTTTGTCTCATTCTCTGTATAGTAATGTACATCTGTTTGACAGTAAATGCCAAAAGGACTAATTTTCTCATACCATTACATCCAAATCTCATTACTTTTATTTCTTGGATAACAATAGGATAAGGCTCCACACCATCCAATCTGGGCTGTTCATTTATAAAAGACTGCACAGATTGGCATGTGTGAACTTGTGAGTTCTTCTGGTTGAACAACTTTTATTTTAAAATGCAATAGAGGGATGAAATTATTTAGAAACGTACCAAAAGATTAACATAGAAGAATCAAAGGCAGCACAGTTTCATTTATGTATCACTTTTCAAAAACAGGGCATGTGTCCATTAAATATTTTTTTGCTTTTGGAATCCCCATGACCTCAATATCTGAGCCCTTAATGTCAGCGCGTGCTGTTGCTAGGTTACAAAATTTTTTTCGCAACACTTACACTTCCCTTCGTAGCAACTGTTAGGTCTATTTAAACATTTCTCTGTGAAGTCAGTATTTTATTTTATTCAAGCAGATTTCACAAAGAAAAGATAAATCATTGTAAAGGAATCATGACCTGGACATTTTACCCTTGAAAAGGATAGATTAGTTTCTTCTGTTAGTGCTGCCATGTTCCTAAAGTTAAACTGTTTTCAACTGAGAGTAATCAAATGCAGCCACAACATACAGCTGAAGTTGTTGTCATTTTTGCCAGCCTTGAACTGCATTGTTTCTGTAGCCATTGCTGGACAAAGACCCTTAAAGTGCTCGACTTGGGCAAATTAAATCATCCCACACTTAACCCCCCCAGAATCAAATCCATTCAGATGGAATAAAATCAATTGTTAAAAAGCTGATTTAATTATAACCATAAAATTCAGTGTAATAATTATTTGTTAGTAGTCCAAAGGGTCTATGAAAGGAAATTAAACCATTTAAAACACAAAAGCACAAAATACACATAAAAAATAAAATTGTTACCTGTATTATTAAAACAGCAACGGTATAATTAAAGATCCAACAAATCTACAAACTAATGCAACAGTATTAAACCATTGTTATTGCTCTTTAATACAAGCCAGTGGTTGACTTACTACAAACAGTAGGGAAGCTTTTGTAGGTTATGCTTCCATCATTTATAAAATGTTTGTTTCTGACTAACAGTGCCAACTACACAAACTAAATCCTTGATCTGCAAGGTAAACAAGAATCAAAACACAAAACTAGGAGGCACAATCTGCTGTCAGCACGTATTTCACACGAGGAGTTCACAGGCGTACGTGAAGGCCAACAAGCTGTCAGCTGAAGGATGGATGTATGCATAATCCTGAGAAATCTTTCAATGTTTTGTGCAGAGTCTGGTTTTAGGGAAAATAATTGAAAGACATTTGAAAGGTTACGTCTTTCATTTTTTAAATTGAAAACGTCTGCAATTTGACCTCAGCTCGACCTTTTCACTGCTGAATGGACAAATTATATGTTGTTGCAAAAATTGAAGTAAGAGGTTTGTCTTAAAGGATGAAGTGCTCTCAGCTCCAAAGTGCATAAATACATAGCATCAAATGTAAGATCTGCCTTTTGCAAGTGGAAACCAAGGTTTACTGAAGATGGACTTGACAATGAAATGAAAATTGTTCTTACTGTACTCTATCGATTTTCTCATCCCTTTATTTCTCTTAAATTCCAGTAATCGCAACAACCTCCGCGCCTGTAGATGTAGCTGTTCAGCTTGCACGCTGGCTCATCTACGCTAATTCTGCGTTGAGCAAGAGAAAGAACCCTGATGGTCTCTGCCCTGTGATCTTAAGGTAAACACATTACTGAAGACGGAGACTGAAAGGATAAATTGTTGTTGCACAATAAACTGATATCTCCACATAAACAACCTGGAACACAATAACACAAAAACAGCGGTTGTATGTGAACAAATGGATGTCCCTGCTTCAATTTACAAGAACAGAGTAAGGAAGCAGTTATCGTTTTATTTAACTGAAACAGTCGCATCAGTTTGTTTCAGTGCTTTACAGTAATAGCATGAGAACTCTTAACATAGAGTAAGAGAGTCAGAATAATTAAACTATTGTACTTCACTTGCTTTATCATTATTCATAACAGATTGTCATCACTATTCTGTAGAAACTTTGGTGTAACATCTCCAGTAAGTTCCGCAACACTTCATGACCAGGAAACCTCAAGTGAAACATCATTACATACCTCAGTTTCTTCACCTTTTTGTGCAGAATGACAGTCTATATAGTGTCTTGAAATCCTTCTGATTTTTTCAGTTCCCCGTATCTATGAGACCTATTATTTATAAATAAACTTCACAGGGCTGAAGAATGGCAGTATAGTTCAAGTTTTTTCTTAAATGATGTAGATTTTTTATTTTTAAGGTATGAAGGTATTATTTCACTTAAACAAGAATATGTCTGTATTTTCTCGTATTTTCCTTTGTCTGTGTGCTTGGCGCCCACTGATGGTCACCGAGGTGCAGTTATGCCTCCACTTTTTAGACAGCATACATTTGTTTACAATCAGAGGGTGCCGAAAGGGGCTTTTCGTCTATCGCATAATGCTTCCTCTAAAATTTTAAATGAGGGTTTTATTATCGAGTATTAAAACATGCTTCCTGTTTCCTTAAGTGCAAATACAGCAAGTAGTTTGTTTTTAAGTGATGCTGTAATGGAAGCATTATTTGAAAGGGTATACGGATAGCCTCTGCTATTGTTTCATTCTATGGCAGCATTTTTCCACAAGGCAGCACATCTTGATTGAACACTGGCAAAGAAGTGAGAAGAACCATTTCGATTGAAGGGTCCAATTTTACTCTAGTCTGGCTTCTTGCTCGGTCACTCACTCTTTTTTTCCCTTTGCTTTACCTGTCACCATCCTCCTCCGTCTCTTAGCATCAGCTATTGTATCATACAGTACTCAGATGGGCTGACTCTTCTATTTTAGCTGAAGGCTGCTGAGTGAACTAGTGCTGTAAAGCCACTTCTTGTGAGACAACCGCGGCAGAAATTTAGACTAAATAGGCTAACATTGGTCAGCAGAGCTGAAGACTGCATTAGTAAACCCCATTAATATTTAAAACTAGACATTGAGTTCGCTTCTAATTTTTATAAGTAGGAATGTGTCATTTCTCATTAATAAGACGTTACATAAACATGCCTTCATTTGTTCTTTTTGCCTGAGAACAATGCCTAATTTTCTGAATCTTTGTATTGTATAACACTGTGAGTCATCTGGCACGTATCACAGATATTTGAGATAAGTCTTTCTGGTTTTCACTTTGCACCATGTAGGATTTTCACAAAGGGCACTGAGAATGTAAAATGAGCCTGCAGCATCACAGGGGTACTCGTGTGATATTTCTCCTCCCAGATTGTGGAGGCACATCACGTAACCCTCGGCTGAAAAGCAGAGGAAAGAATTTTATGGAAAGTCAAACCGTCCTATGTGGTCTTCAGGGGTAACACGAGAGGCTTATATGGGCTCCTGCTGTCTACAGAAATCCTGCATTCAGCTCTTAATGCAAAGGACACCAGGAGTATTAGGTGTATTCATCACACAGTAAGAGCCTCTGTCTGAGGCTGCAGATATCAAGAACACGTTAATGACTCAGTCTTAAGGAATAATTCACACAACTTAAAAACTGTAATTACCTGAGTAAGTGCTGTGCATAGAGCGAAGATCCAAAGTGCCACTAGGTTCTCATTAAGCCAGTCCTTCACCCGCTCGTAGCATGGCTGTGAAAACACACAAAAAACACAAAAAGACCAAACGTTAACAAATAAATGTAAAATCAAATAAATACTCCAATAAAATATATAACTGATAATGTAGGATACAGCTGAAACTGAATAGTTTACTGCAGCCCTAAGCAAGGCAGCAAAAAGTGAACCACTAAGGTGATGCAGGATATTGTTATTGCAATATGAGCATCAGCAATAAACGCATTGCTACATGTTGGCTACTAGATGGAGTCCTGGGTAAAACAACAAGTCTTTCAAAAAAATAGCTGTTAGCATTGCATAAATCTGAACCAATTAAGTGGGAAAAATAAATTGCTTTTTGAATTTATTTTTGGATTCAGAGGGAACATAAGGAACACCAGATATAAAAACTGGGAGCTAAAGCTAATATGCACTCTTTAATGTTTCCTTATGTATTGTACTTCATGCTGTAATTGCAATAGTGAACAATGTAATTACACATCACATATTTATCTCATATTTTGCAGGCATGATGCAGGACCTTTTTTTTTTCCCTGCTCAAAAAAAGAATCCCAAAGATTTACTGTTGGAACAGTGTCTCCATCATTGCTGTGTCTGAAGCAACAGATTATTCTTGATGATACATATCTAAAAGTTTTAGTTCTTTTGTACCCAGTATGGGCTCATGTGAATTGCTCCTTGTCAAATCGGATCACTTGGATAGAACTTACTTTGTAGAAATAGATATAACAGATCTTATCATGCTGTAATGGACCAATCAGAGTAAAGTTTCAAAACAGCCATGGAATAAAAAATAGGTCTATGTAGCATTTACAGCCAGTCTTCTTTTGCTGTAATAAAAGACTATGATAGAAAATGTTTCTCGGTTGAAAGGTCCCCCGGGGGACATCCTAATCTCCCAATTCTCCTCCTCCTCCTCCTCCTCCTCCTCCTCCTCTGACCTAATATTCTTTGGGGAAACTTTCCAAAATTCAAGCGGGTCCCAGCTGTCCTTGTCTCCCTTCAGCTGTACAAACAGGAGTAATGTGACTATGGGAGCAGCACATACGCCGCAGGTATCATTTAGACAGGAGAATGGGTTGAATTTTTCATGTTGACATTGCTCGAAATCATTCTGAAGGCATCTCAAAAATACCCAAATAATCTCCACCCTCTCACTGCATTCCCATTTGTTTTGTCCCTGAGAAAATTTCAGCTTCTAGAGCACATTTTAAAATCTCTTCTCAAACTCTGCAAAATGTCCCTGAGCCATGTAGTGCCAAACTGGCAGAAATAAAAGAAAGATAATTACTATTAATATAAGGCATAGAGTAATGCCCTTCTGGGTTGGTGATTTGTGAAAGTCATGAATAGGAGATGAATCCTTAAAGCAGAGAAACATGCTCTCTAAGAAGAGGGTGAAAGCTGAGATTGAAAGTGATTGGGATGGCATTGCCTCTGGGGCCACATTTCAAATGGTTCCTTTAGCTCTTGGACCTTTAAAAAAACACACTTATACATGCACCAAACTCTGTGTTTAATTATATAAGATGTATTGTCGATATCACCATCTGCAGGCCCTGAATTTAGACTTGGGATTGCAAAATTTGTGCACAGATAAATAAATTCCTACAAGTCTGGAACCTCATGTGTGAGGAAATCTTGCACACATTAACAATAATGTTAAAAATTCCCAACATATGTCACAAAAGAAAATGTTGGCATGGTTGCAGGACAAACTGGCCATGCCCCTTCAGAGATTGGTTTCAGTGTGAATGGCTTAGGTACCAGCTCACTCTCTCCCTCGCCTTTACAAACACGCCTTTGGGCAGTGAAGTGATTGTTCCCAACTTTAGTGCACAACCTTCATGGCTTTCTTCCACAAAAAAACGTATGCTAAGCGTTAGTTAGGTTTATTCAAAACAACAGAGGCAGCTTATCATGTATAATCGACAGTTCCAGGATGTTTTTGTATATGAATAAACCCCTGTCTGTATAAAACTCTTCCATAACTGCTCAGTGACTTAGCTGCATGTTGAACTAATACTTGCCTATTAGCAAGTGAATGCTGACATTAATTATATTGACCAATAGCTGCTATTCTGCAGTGTTATAGGCTGTTTGTTTTTGTCAGGTGGTGTGTGCTTAGATACAGTACTGTTATGTGGTTTAGTGTTTCTTGTTTCTTTCTTTCTGTTTAACTAAAGGTATCATATGCAACATTCTGAATATTAATACAGCAAAACTCTCATGTACCCTATGTAAATATGTAGAGGAGTAATAACTTCCCATAAGAGAGTGAAGACAAAATCCTTCTGGATTTTCTGTTCTTGGCTTTGTGTTCACGTGGACAATATAGCGCATACTTTAGCTTGGTTATGTTTTGCTCAAATGTTATTTGCATGGTGCAAGCTTCTCCTCATACTAATCATAATGCCAGGCATGTCAATCACACATTGGAAACATGACTGAGGTGAAGCAGTAAAAGAAAAATCACTGATTTTAATTTGCAAAAGAGTAAGAAATGCAATGTAGGGTCAAATTTGGACCATGTAGACCCAAAGTTAAAGCTGCTGTTAGAACCTTAAATTCTTAAGTTTTTGGCGACCCCCTAATTCTGTGCTATCCTCGTCCTGTATACATTTTCCTGATCTTTTCTGTACATGTGTAAGTATCTTTCTCAAATGAAAAACAGAAACATCCTACTGTATTTTGGCTGTCAATCATGTCACACACACTGAATCTTTTCTATGGAAATGAACACAAAGGTAGTTCTTGTGTGCTGTAAAATCCCTCCTCGGACACTGACCTGGTTGCAGTGGTGAAAGGCATTAAAATAACTACACACAAATAGTCAGTATTCTCCTGATGGTCTCATTTGCTTTGTAGGTCATACAAGGCAACAGTATTCATTTTAGTCAGTTTCATAACCGGATTAAAAATTCCTCATTCATTGTATGTTTGAACCCCCCTACGTGAAGCATTTTTTGGGGGGAATTCCCCCCCAAATAAAAGAAAGAATTTCAGGCCCAGTAGTACTGCAGTAAAAGGAAAAGTGCTATCATAGCAGGCTGCACTGCTGCTCTAATTGAATTATTAATATCTGCAGACTTGCCTCTGTTTGTGCTACTTTTTAGACCTCATACGTCACATAGCTGAGTCAGAGCCAGGGAAACCCAAACTTCTCTGCATTTCATTGCTGTCTGAAACATCGACCACAAGACAGATATATATTTTTCTTAGCACGAGCTGAATTAATTCTGAACTGGATCAATAAGGAAAGTCATTCAGTAGGCCAAAATTTAGAGCAAGTTCAGTGTTATTTATTAAACTGCTGCCCAGCTATAACCCTCCCACAGCGCAGAGCTGCATCTGAAAATATATAAATTCATATATTTATTGTTTGACTTCAACTGCAGTGTCCCATAAATCTGGAAGAAAACAGATAAGTAAACCCAATATCCCTTCTGAGCCAAATTCAGCACAGGGACCACAATCTCAGTGCTGCAAGGCTTAAACGGTATCAGGCTGTTAAAGAAATTAATCTTAGCTTTAAGATCCAACTTATGAGCTTTTTTGAGTTTTTAACCAGTTTTATGCAGCTTTATCAGTGCATTTAGGTTCCTCATGTGTTCTTGTATAACTACAGTCAGTCAATGTCCTCCTTCGTTGTCCTTGAGTCCAGATTAATGCTCAGTAAATTTTAACTTTTTCCACTGAAAGCTCTGACATGTACGAGGTCATCTGGTTCTGGTGTTCATTCAGGCTCTTGTCCAGTGTTGTTGCTTTTTTTTTTACAATCTTGAAGTGCTCAAATTGTTTGTGGTAAGTGTTGACTCCTTGTGACTTAAAAATTTCCACTGAGTCCCACTGGGATGCTCTTAGTAACCCCTGCTGATTCAGATTGACCTGGTCTGTTATTACCCCCTTTCTGCTGTACTGCCATCTCTCTTCAGACACCTGAGCCTGCACCTTTGCTGGTAAAGGAAATCGTAAAGATTTCCTTTACCAGCGTACCAGCTTGTTCTTTTACAAGTGTAAAGACACTTGTATTTAAAAACTCGGGAAAGCTAATGAGTTTATTCCTGTAATTGGACCCGGATTATTTTATGAAACAAAAGGTCAGGGATTCACACCATTAGGTGCATGCGTGTGTTAATTCATTTTATATAAACAAACTGAGTTGATTAGTCTGTATTAAAATTTGCATTGAACCAACTTTGAAATGAGTCTCTACGACCTAGTTAAAACTTCCTTCTCTTAATGGTAAACGGTTGATTTGCAACTTGGTTCGGTTATGGAGAAATCAAGGTTTAGTGTATCTTTAGCACAAGAGGTTCATTTTTCAAATTCTGGTTAAAAAAATGTATGCTTAGAATAATTTTAATGATATAAAAAGAGATTATGCCACTCTCATTCCACATTCAACCCTGAATACCCATTTTTGCACATCTAACTTGCACAACACATTACATAATGGCTTTCTGTCAGGGAGGATAAGAGAAACTTATCAGGTTACCAGTTTAAGTTCAATATTCTTGGTATGAAGAGCATAGCGGAGCTGAAGACAAAAACATTTACAGAAAAAAACATAGAGTCCTGTGTGTGATCAAAGTTGACATTGACCTGGTAACTTTTCTTCATGAAAATACATTCCTAACAAAAGTTCTTACTTAAACCCATCCTGTTGTCTCAAACTTACCCAGCAGTTTAATTCCCGAATCCGCGTTGCATTTTTTGTTACCGTGATGGTATATAATTTTTACTCTGGCTGCCGCCATGTAAAGCTGTGTTAAGTGGGCCATTACATGATACATTGATTTCATAATAAGGCTTTAAGAGAACAATTTCTTACATCCTCCCAATGGGAGATGTAAGGGGCAAAATTTACAGTCCTCATTCTTTCCAAAAATATATCCCGAAGTTTTATTTGAAGCTATATGATACTTCAGCAGTCTGAGTCAGACAAATCAAGTGGGGATCTTCTAAATTTAACGTCTTTTGGTAAAAAAAAAAAAAATCCCTTTTTGTGT